GACACCAGTTTTGTTTACATTTTAAAGCTTTTTGAGCCTTGTATATAATGCCAGCTGCTTTTCAGCTTTTGACTTGTTATTTTAGTGTTTGTCATCAGTGGAGTCCTTAACACCTCTCCTTAATTTTTTCTCTCTATAGGAATTGGGAAGGTGAAGAGCAGAAAGGGAGGGATGAGAGACGCTGCCTCCAACGCAGAAACAGATCTGAGTACAGATAACGGGGAGAGGCTGTATGACCTCAACGCGCCAGCTCTGGTTAAGTTCAGCTACACGGCGGAGCGGGAAGATGAACTGTCCCTGGTGAAGGGCACACAAGTGGTGGTGATGGAGAAGTGCAGCGACGGCTGGTGGCGCGGCAGCTACAATGGACGATCTGGCTGGTTTCCGTCCAACTACGTGACAGAGGATGTGGTTGGGATGGCGGGGGGAGGGGGTATAAGTGGGCTCGGAGACCCAACTGGATCACTGACGGAGACGCTAGCCGCCGTGGTGAACAGCACCGCTAACGGAAACCGAGTGCTGCACACGGTCCAGGCGCTCTATCCGTTCAGCTCTAGCAACGACGAGGAACTGAACTTTGAGAGGGGCGAGGTGATGACGGTCGTGGAGAAGCCTGAGAATGACCCGGAGTGGTGGAAGTGCCGCAAAGCGGACGGACAGCTGGGCTTGGTGCCCAAGAACTACGTCAATGTGTTGGACTCCAGCTCCCATAAATCCACAGCAGGGCTGGCGGGGCCGCCCACGCCCGACTGCGACTACATCTCGCCCTCAGAGAGTGGACGCTTCGCAGGGAAGGAGTGGTACTACGGAAAGGTGACCCGGCACCAGGCAGAGGTGGCCCTCAATCAGAGAGGCACAGAGGGAGACTTCCTCATTCGAGACAGCGAGTCATCGGTGAGTCACGAAGCTCCTGCAGCAGCTTTTCACCTTGTGATCTGCAACTGCAATAACAAGCTGCCACTAACTCTCAAATTTTCTTTCCTTTTTTTAATAGCCAAATGACTTCTCCATCTCCCTGAAGGCACACAGCAAGAACAAGCATTTCAAAGTTCAGCTGAAGGAAAACCTTTACTGCATCGGACAGCGCAAGTTCAACTCTATGGAAGAGCTTGTTGAACACTACAAAAAGGCTCCCATCTTTACCAGTGAGCAGGGAGACAAACTGTACCTGATCAAGGCCCTGGCTGCCTCCTGATCCACCACTCTCTTAAACACACACATACACTTCCACATCAGTGGCTTACATGTATAACATGCCAGAACACACACAGTAACATACTTAACACACCATCATGACTTAAATGGCCACTTTGTGAGCATTCCAAGAGGAAGTTTTTTTTTTTTGGGGGGGGG